TGGCCCGGAGTGGCCACTGCACTCCATTCAGTCTGGGTGACAGAGTGAGACTCCAACTCAAAAAAAAAGAATTGCAACACACAACAAGGTGAGAGAAGAAAAGATTTATTTAAGATAAGTTCACTCCCCACAGATAGGAAGCATGCCTACACTCTAGGTGAGCGTGGCGCCGTAGTGCCCCGAGTCCTGGCTAAATCCTTCCCCCTGGAGATGTTGCAGTCGGGTAGACGTGACTGCCGTGACTTCCTGATTGACCACCTGCGGATGTCTTGGAGATCCTGTGACACAGAGACCCACTAATGTCTGTCCACATTATCACACCCCTAGAGAAGGGCGTGACAAGGATTCCAGTGCTCCTGCACCTTCCTGAACAACATTCCTTAGAGCTAATGGAGGGTGCACCTCCCCCATCTCCCATGCATTCCCAGTGGGTAGCTTCGGGGGATCCTTGACTTCCCTGTAGATAGCACCCAATTTACTAGAAGACTGAGTCCCCTCCTGCTCCCCCCTCAGTGGTCATAACTTTTGTAATTACAAGTTTCATGACTTCCACAATCTTTGCCCAATGCATGATGTCTTAGGCCTTGTAAATTCCTTTTACTCTAGGCAAGCTTGATTGCCGCTATGAGGTACCTCTGATACCTGGCACCAGGAAGTCTGTTTCTGAAAAGACAAAGTCGGCAAAGTTAATCTTTATCTAAAGTATGCATTTCTCCAAAACATAGCTTCTACTTTCTCTTCATTGTGTCAGGGTTTAAGAACAAGATGAAAAATGGCTTTCCACTCTTGGTCTGTCCTTTCAGGGGTGGGCTTGCAGAGGGATCTGACCAGGTCCTTGCAGGGAGGTGTGTCTGGCTGTAGGTGTGCCTCCAGAGGGGGCTATTGAGGTCTGAGGTGGCAGGGCTAGCTGGCATTGCTGTGGGTTGCCTGCATGATAGGGTGAGACCAGGCATTCTGCTAACCAGGCTCTCCTGACCCCTGCTGACTTTGAGGGTGGCCGTGGGGCACTGGGCTCAGCAATCCTGAGAACCCCACAGGCTTCTCCCAGCCCCACCAGGTCTCACCCCCCCCCCCCCCGCCTCGCCCTCTCATCTCCTCCTCATGCCCCAGCCTCCCAGCTCAGCAGACCACTGCTCTGACCTTGGCATCCTTTAGGGCTGCTGGAACGAAACCACCACAACATGGGTGATGACTCTCAGGTCTGGTGACTGGAAGTCTGAAGTCAAGGTGTCTTACTGGGGAGGGTGCTGAGGGCTGAGATAGGGTTCTGTTCTGAGCCTCTCTCCTTAGGTGGTTGTCGTCATCTCCATGGCCTTCTCCCCGTGTGTGTCCTGTCAAATTTCCTTTTATAAGGACACCTGTCATAGTGGATTAGGGGCTCAGAAAGACCTCCTTGTAACTTAATTACTTCTGTAAAGACCTTATCTCCAAATAAGGGCACATTCTGAGGTGCTAGGAGTTAGGACTTCAATAAATGAGTTTGAGGCAGACACTCTCGAAGGGGACACAGAGAGATACAACCTACAGATCAAACTCCCCTGGTAAGAGTTTCATGTGGGTTAACTAGAGCCCAGCAGTCCCCTTCCTGCCACTTAGGAGTGCATTCCATTGTCTGAAACCCCCTTTCCACACCCAGGACGTCCAGATCTCTTCCTGAGCCTCTCTGAATTCTAGAGTAGGAGAGAGGAGGCTGTATTTGCACTAACTGAAAGGTTTTTCACCTTGGCCCTGAGGCACGCTTGATGTCAGATCAAGTCTAGCCTGTGCAATGTAGTGATACACTGTTTCTATTTTTTTTAAGTAATTTAAACTAAAAAGAAGGCTTCATCTTCGTAATTCTGTTTCCCTGACCCACCCAACCCTGGCCCTTTCGTGACAATCTCACAAAGGCCATCTAAAGACAAATGTGTTCCATTCCAGATGGAACCGTATTTTTATAGATTGATTGGTTTTTATTTTATCTATTATTATTTACAGAAACAGGGTCTTGCTACATTATCCAGGCTGGTCTTGAACTCCTGGCTTCTGTTGATCCTCCTGCTTTGGCTTCCCAAAATGCTGGGATTACCAGCATGAGCCACCACCCACTGCAGACTAGGTGAAAGGGTGAGACTCTGACACAAAATTAAAAGAAAAAAATTGTAGCCATGCCAGTGGGCTGACATGGTATCACATTATATTTTTTATTTACATTTCCCTGTGACTAACGATGTCCCAGGAACTTTTCTTGCGCTAATTGACCACTTGCAAATCTTGTGGGGATGTGTGTTCAGATCCTTTGCCCATTTTTAATCGTAGATGTCTTGTCCTCCTATTAAGTTATAAGAATTATTTTTGTATTCTCTATGCAAGTCCCTTATCAGCTGTGTGAATTGCAACTATTTTCTCCCATTCTGTGGGCTGTCTTTCCGCTTTCTTGATGGTGTCCTTTGAAGCACAAAAGTTGTAAGTTTTGATTACGACTCCATACCAAACTTTTTAATATACCACTTAAAAAATAAAACCAGCCAGGCTGGGTGGCTCAGCCTGTAATCCTGCGCTTTGGGAGGCTGAGGTGAGTGGATTGCCTGAGCCCGTGGGTTCGAGACCCGCCTGGGCAACTTGGCGAGACCTCATCCCTACAATAAAACAAAAAATTAGCCGGGCATGGTAGTGCGCCCCTGTAGTTCCAGCTACTTTGAAGGCTGAGGTGGAAGGATCGCCAGAGCCCAGCAGGTTGAGGCTGTGGTGGCCGGGAGCGGCCACTGCACTCCAGTCTGGGCGACCGAGCGAGACTCCAACTCAAAATAAATACATAAATAAATAATTTTGTTTAAAACCACTTTGATTATTTTTGTGTAGCAGCCATAAATCTGTAAAGGCTGGAGACATTTACACGTAGCTAGAAAGCAGTCTCAATTTCACAGGAGACACCCCTCCCTGGGCTCCCCCCAACCAGCTTTCCAGGTCCTCTCTGCTTCCTCTTCCCTCTCTTCCTTCTCAGACACCCACCTCCACCCACCCTGGATTCCAACTT